TGTTTTTCCCATTTTATAACTACCTTGTTACATTTGTACATATCTTTAAAATTATTAGTGACGCCATCTTCCACATCTAGTGTGTCCACTATTCCCCACAAGTCCTCTTGAACCACGCTGTCGTACGCCCCCGTGATATCCGAACATGCTAGCCACAGGGGCCTGCTTTCCTTTTCTGCTATTTCGATGCACTGTGCCAGTGAAAACAGATTGTCTTCCAACCTCCATTGTTTCCGAAACCCCTTCTGCAGTTCCCCCAGCACCACCTCATTCTCTATCCATGCCTTCAGTCGTATCTTTATAATCTACATCACCAGCCTGTAGACCACTGATATCACTGTTATAGGACGTTAGTGGTTTATGTCAGCTTTGTCCCCCTTTCCTTTGTAGATCATGCTCATCGTGCTAAGTTTCCATCCATCAGAGGCCTTAACATCGATTATTGTTCTTCTAGTTGCCTCTCCCAAAGCTTGTTTAAACTCGGGACCAAATTCCTTTATCAGCATAAATGGGATGCTGTCTGGGCCTGTTGATGTACTACTATCCCTCTTCTCAGCCCTTTTCCGCTCCCGTTGTGAAAATGGAGCCACTGTGCCACTTGATCCATCCTTGTCTATTAATGTACATAAGGCACTTTCTTGTTGAAATTTTTCTGTCATCCTTGTTCTTATATATTCAATAGCGTCCTCCCCTTCTAGCCTGACACCTTGAGCTGTAGTTATAAACCTCTGCTCTAGGCTTGTCTCTTTACGTAGGGAGTTCAAATGGTTCCAAAATTTTGCAGCTGCCTTTTTGTCCTTTTTATGTACTTATACCAGCCTATGAGCCGACTTCTTCAAATATTTTTATTGACCAGAAGAGATGTTTCCGTTCTACAGCTTAGAAAGATGTTCTATAAAACAATCTAGACAGATACTCTGAATGGCACTCAAAGTCTTGTATGTGTATTAAAGGGGAACTCCGGTGAATTTTCGTCCATACTGAGATAATGCTGCTTTCTGATAATATTGACAGTACCGAAAAAGCTAGGGTGGTTCATTTTGCCCAGGCACTCGTCAATAATTATAATTCAGCAAAAAAGGACAAGCCAAAACAGAAACCGAAACAGGTAGTGCCTCTTTTGTCCATAATGGGTGTCCATTGACGTCAGAAGATACCTTCACCGATAACGTCACGAGATCCGCAACACCCCGCCACGGCTGGCCAGGGTGTAAAGATATCTCAGGTGATTCAATCTTCGGATGCGCGAGAAGCAAGTTGGCGATGAAGCTGACAAAATCGAACTGTGTTCGCGTTGTCGTCACCTCGTAGAAAAAAGCTAGCCCTGCATCTGTCTGCTGGAAAAGGCAGGGTTTAAAAAAAAAAGACAGCTGTCACGCAAGCCCCCCCCCCCCCCCCCCTCTGTGTATGGCGTCAGGCCCTGACGCCATACACAGAGGGGGGGGGGGGGGGGCTTGCGTTTACAAGTGTGTTTTTCCTTTTCCGGAGTGACTTTTCATGTGCCTTAGCAAGCTCTAGCTCAAACAGTCTAATTATATTCGTGTGCGCCCACACTGTTTTATTATCCTCAGTGATTACTTTCTCATTTTGTTTAGTAGCCATTTCTATTTGCCTTTCTGAATAAAAATTCCACTGTAGTTGCTTCTCCTTCCCACTTTCATTGCTTTTCCAAAACTTAGCTTGATACGTTTTGGGATCACTACCCAGACTTCTGGAGCCACATTCATCTATGTGCATTCCACTGAGCCTATCATATATCCTATGTGACATCAGTGCATAATCTATCGTCGACTGAAGCCTTCCTACCTCCCATGTTATCTGTCCTTCACACTTCTCAGTACTGTTGCAAATGATCAAATCATGCCTTTCACACATATCCATGATCATTTTGCCTGTTGGGTCAGTATACCCATCTATATCTTCTATGTGCGCATTTATGTCTCCTAGTGTAATTATTTCACACTCTCTTCCTAACTCCTGAATGTCCTTTGATATACACTCTACCACTGCCTGGTTTTCCTCTCTGGCCTTTGCTCCCGTCCACAAGTACACCCCAACCAAGGAGTGTCATCTGCCCAGATACTTTCCCTTTTAACCATAAATGTTCCGTGCATCCCTGCTTGACTCTTTGCCAACCAGTACTTTTATGTATAAATGCCCCAATTCCACCACCCTTTTTGCTGCCTTATGTTCTACCGCACTATTCTCATACTAAGTCCGGATCACAAGGTAGTTGTCCATGTCCCGAAGATGTGTCTCCAGAACCCCATATACCATCAGCTCCTCCTGCATGAACTGCTTTTCTATCTCTTCCCACTTTAACATATTCCTGCCATCCTGTATGTTAATATACCCTATGTCTGATTTATAGCTGGTTCCTTGTGTATACGTCGATTTCTTCTCCCACAAACACCATGTGGCTTGAATATTGGTACCCCGTCAGAATCGTCTTTGGCTACATTGTTGGCCTCAGGGCTCTTTGTCCCCCTAAAAAAAGCTGTGGCTTGACGACTCATCCTATTACTAACCCCCCTGACCGTTGCACCACTGTAATGAATGACTTCTTGTGCAAAGGGGTGGGCGCCGGGCTCGTACACGTCTTGGTTCACCTCCATTATGCTGCATCCGAGCTGCCGGCTCATACCCCTGATGACACAGTTGGCCTCCACTACCCTCTTTTAAATTCCACGAGACTGCCCCAGACCTCTGGGACTGTGCGTATGGTCACATGCACACTCCCAGAGGCCTCTCGAAGATTACGCATCCCGCCCTCCACCTGTCTCTGAATGTTCTGACCCTTGCCCTTCGACACATCATCACTACTAACTTTACGCCACCTCGTGGTTGAATGACGCATTTGCTGCCGAAGCCATGGCCTCGGAGATGGCGGAAGCGCGGCGTGTCTGCTACCGCGTGCCCATCATCTCAAAGGCCATGTCAAAGCCCTGCATGCGCGAATACAGTGCAGCGACAGCTTATAGTTCGTTTTTTTTTTTGGGGGGGGGGGGGGGACATCATATGTTTTTTTTTTTATAATTTACACTCCTATAGGCGGGAACAAAAGTGAAAGGACTGGCCGAAGCTAGGGTTTTCGATGCGCTCGCCTCCACTCTCATCGGGGCTCCCTAGCCGAAGCGACCATGCACCACGAAACAGCACGCTGAAGGTCAACTGCTGCAGTTTGTCATCGAGTATGATGTTTCATGCTTACCTTCTCATGCTGCAATTCCTCCCCCCCCCCTTTTTTTTTTCTTCACTGTACAGTGTAGCGTAAGAGTAGGGGCAGCCATTGAGGTGCTTCTTCTCGCAAAGAATCGAAATAGTTGTTTGCTTTAGAGTTCCAGAAAGAATTATTATTAGCACTGCACACCAAACGAAAAAAATAAGCTAGTGGTCCACTTGTGCACTTCAGACGACTTGCCCTTTAAACCCACCATCTGGGACTCACAATAAAAACAAAAAAATGAAGTTTTCTGCTACTCCCTGATCAGATTCCACTGTGACGAAGCTTCCTTTTAAATATTGTCAAGTGAAGTTGCGTTCTGACGTACGTAACACAGCGACGGCACTTCCTGCGAGATAACTTTAGGTGCAGGTGCGAAGGTATTTCCGCCTCGACGTCTTCGTGTGTGCGCCTGATTGTCATAGCGTGTTTAAAAGATGCTGTATACTGTGAAAAAAAAGAACATTCGGTATTATCGTACTCCACCTGATCCAATGCGGACAGTGGCATATAGTAACATTTTTTTTTCGGTAGAGGGGGGGGGGGAGGGCACCACTTTGATCTACAGAAGTGGGCGCAGGCTTGGTGATATGGTCAATTGTCATTTTGTGCTGTGTGTGCCATGGCAAAAAAATATAAAAAAATCAAGGGGTTGGGGGAGCACGGTCTTGGTGTGCCACCCCCTAGCAACGCCACTGAATGCGGGTAGAGTGTAGCTGAAAATTCGGCTGTCTTTATTCTTGAACGACAGTAAAAACATGCTCATGACCACGCTCATGACACAGGTTTTTGCTAAAGGACCCCTGACAATGAATTTGAAAACTAGAGTTGACTGCGTTGTTTGATAGACCTGCACGTATGGGCACTTTTGATCGATTATGAGTACCGATGGTTGCCTTCAAGATATTGTAATTAGGTTTTGAAGTGAGCGTGAGTGCTCATCTGAGTTAGCTCTTCGCGACATCGCCAATAGTATGACGTAGGCAGAGGCCCCTTGTAACGTTCCACAAGAAAAGTGGGTATTGTCGACGTCGCAGAACATTCACGCGGCGCACACGAAACCACGATTGGCACCAAACCGCCGACCAGGGGCGCCGCCAGAATTATTTTACAGGGGGGGGGGGGGGGGGGGACAAAGACGGGGAACTTAGCCACTGTGTTATGACTTTGTTCCTTCTAGGGGGGCAACGGGGGGGCGAGCATAATTTTACAGGCGCTCCTGCCCCCCATACCCACCCCTGGAGCCACCCCTGTGCGCAACAAGGGCTATTTTTCCTCGCCCATCTCGCTGTCAAGGTGGTTTCTCGTCAAGTGGTCAAGGTGGTTCCTCGCCCATTTCGCTGTTGGGCTGCTGTCAAGGTGGTTTATGCTGTTTGAGCCAGGAAGGCTTGTTTTTTTTTTTTTCCTGACGGGGGCACGTTTAAAGCACCCAAATCGTTTATTGTTTACTGCACCTGGGCCCCTGATTTGAAAACTGCGCCAACGGTGGCGTTCCCCCGCTGTGGGACGCTAGTCTACTGGAAATTTGGGCGGGCGTTTTGAAGAGTAGGTAAAATTTGATACAATCACAGTAATAGGCAACAATTAATATAATTGTACAACACTTTACGACATTTATGATTCAATTCCGACACCACCTGACAAAAGGCAAAATATTACAATAAAAAATCACAAACAAAATATTTGTTGTCAGTCTCCATGTCTTTTGAGGCCACGCTTAAGTTCTTTCATCCTGGTAGGCCACCATGAGAACAATTTTTTTTTAATATAAAACAAAAAAACGAGAGCATAAATGAAAGACACTTGCCCACTTGCTTATGGAGGCACCAGCCAATACGACGGTTGCCGATGGTTATCGCAGTGCCTTGCAGAGGATGTTAGTAGCCGACAGAGGCCAGAATGGCTTCTTCGGAAGAGGTGTTGGTAGTTGGCGGTCGTAATGAAATACGTGCTCAAGTTTTGATCATCGGTGGTGGTGTTGCTGGGCTGACAGCTGCGAATCGCCTTAGCGCGCATGGATTCGAAAATGTCATGATCCTGGAAGCTAGAGACAGACCAGGCGGTCGAACGTATTCAAAACCTTTCGGTGAGCCTTGTACTTTAGATACAGCCGACCGTAATTTTTTTTAAGTGTATTCCATGCGAAATCGATGGAAGAGGGCGTACGGGAGTGTTTGCCGCATGCAGCTTGAAAAATATTGGCAAAATTGGTGGTGTGATCTTTCATTACTCGAGCTTGCGACACGCCCTCTCACATAATTTCGACTGCGCGTATCACTGCAAGGGAACCTCAGCAGACGTGATATCCGCGAAACTGTGTTGATGATAAAATATCCTATTCGTTTACCACTGCGCGAGCATAATCTTGTACTCCCTGGTACTTCATTTGATCATAGGCAGTTCGCTTACAATTTTATCTGCGCTTCCGCGACTTGAATGAGGGATTTTTTTATACAGGCTTGTTGTTCTTATCGTTTAAGCTTGTTATTGTTAAAGGTCTGTTTATTATGTACATCCGACCTATATGCTAATTATTATTATGTTTTCTTGCTGTTGTATAGGGGATAGCTACATCGAATGTGGTGCGCAGTGGATTCATGGACAAGATGGAAATGTTGTTTTCCAAGTCGCAAACGAAAATGGTTTGGTGGATCACGACTGTCCATACTATCTGGAGCAGTTCTATGTTTGGCCTCAGCTGACCGAAGAGCAACATAGTGTGGCCTCAGAAGTCAGTTCTCTTATTTTAGAAGCACTGGATAGATGCCAAAAGATGTCAACAAATCGTAGTCGAAATGATACGCCGAGTGTCTTTCAGAAGTCACTTGGCCACTTCTTGCGTCACAGTCTCCTTGACTACATCAGCAAAAACAGTTTGTCCAGTGACAAGGTTCAACTTGTTGAGGCGTGCTACGACTGGGCAGTACGATTTCAGCAAGAAATTCAGGGATGCAGCTGCCTCACAGATGTCTCTGCTCTATTTTTTGGCCAGTACCGTGAATGTGATGGGAACATTGTGACTGAGCTGAAGCACGGTTATGGAAAATTTGTGGATTTCATTTTGCAAGGCTTCCCTTCGAAGTGGCTACAGCTTAACAAATGTGTGACCAGTGTGACAACATCTGTGGCACCCCTTTCGACAAACACCTGCGTTATGAATGAGAGGCCACATAATCACCTGAAGACTTCTTTTGCAGCTGTTCCTTTAGGTAGCAACAAACCAGTAATCACTGTGACGTGTGAAGATGGCTCAGTTTACAAGGCAGACCATGTAATAGTCACTCTGCCTCTGGGCTGCCTCAAAGCGCATGCCACGCATATTTTTGACCCACCACTGCCTGAAAAGAAAATGCTGGCCATCAGGTCACTGGGATTTGGTGCTATTGACAAGGTATTCCTAAAGTACAGTGTGCCTTTCTGGAAGGCTGGTGATGTGTTCCAAGTACTGTGGCTCGATGGTTTCAACCACTGTGGGAACAAAGTGGAAGGGGATGTAAGCCTGCTTTTCGCTTCTTTTGCTGTGCCATTTTGTAAATGTACATAGTGTTTATGTTGCCCTTTTTTTTTCTCGTGTTTGTGTATGCATGCCTTACTTTCTTCTACTGTGAATCCCTACCATGTAGCTTAATTCAGTCATTTTATTAATCTAATTTGCTACTCAGACCAGAGTGGTTGTAGCATTATCAGGTCGACATAATTTCTCCCCTGCACCTTGATATAGTTACCTGCAAATAGTTACATTCATTCGCAAGCCTTGGTAAAGATGGCAGCATTGCCCTGCCGCAGTGGTCTAGCGGCTAAGGCACTCTGCTGCTAACCCGCAGGTCAAGGGATCAAGTCCCGGCTGTGATAGCTGCATTTTCGATATGGGTGAAAATGCTGTAGGCCCGTGTGCTCAGATTTGAGTGCTCATTAAAGAACCCCAGTTGGTCGAAATTTCCAGAGCCCTCCACTATGACGTCTCTCATAATCATATGGTGGTTTGGGGACATTGAACCCCACATGTTGTTAAATATGTTAGCATTGCCTTTTCTATTTCAAGTGACCCCTGTGAATGTGGGTTACCAAAACGCTGGTCTAGAGCAGTGTAGTGATATACGTTGTGTTCACATGACGTCACAGACAGGTTCTCAGTGCTGGGTACCCAGACATAGCGGTCATCGTGACTTTTCATCTCATTAGAAAGGGTCAGTGCAGGGGAGGATGTGCAGTTGTTCGATCGCCATGTTCTTTGGTGACATCAATGTACACTGTATGCAACAGATCAATGTAGTTGATATCTGGCAGGATATATACTAATTTAAGCAAAGCAGTTGTTTCTTATTTGTAAATGGCTGTGGATGTATCAGTATACAATTATTTTCTTCTTCATTACTGAGCTTTTTCATTACAACTGATCAATTTCTCGTGTGCAATAACATGCAGATGCTGTGCTACTGTGGATTGGTGTGCTATATGTTGCACTCAACCGTGTGAAGTCCACTTTACCTGCTTATGTAGATCTTTAAGAGTTTTGAGTTTTTAAGTGCAATGAAACACTATCTATTTAACATTAATGCATAAACATGATTACATACTTGCTGAATTTCTTGTTAAAAAACTGACTTTTTTCTACCATTTGTATGCACATTTTCATTTCTACTGATTTCTGAATTCATTTCAGGACATGTCTGCATGGGTAACACACAGCCAGCTGAATACTTCCTGGTTCAGATATATTGGGAGATTCAATGCTGTGCATAACCATCAAGATCTGCTGTGTGCATGGATAACTGGGGAAGGAGCAAAGTATATGGAAACACTAAGTGATGACGATGTCCGCATTGGTTGCCACAACGTCCTTGTCCAGGTTCTTGGAAAGAAGGACTTGCCTTTACCATGCGAGGTGGAGCGGTATGTAACACTATTTGCAGTGACTATAGATAATAACTTGTATCTGTGCACTGGACAATATTCTTAAAACTTGGATGTGTGGTACCAGCATATGGCGTTTGACAGACTTGCACAGTCCTTCCCAGATGTTACTGTGGGTTTAGAATGCTCACAGGGGTGAAAACAGGTTAATTAGTACTATTATGAATTAGTGCTATTATGAACTTTTCGACTGCTTCACTTCCTTTATGCAAAATTTATAGATGGCTTAACTTCTCGTTATGAAAACATATTAGAAATTTCAGCACCCTAGCACGAATGAAAATATACGGCTGTTATAGGGATCAATCACGTTTGCCAACTTAAGAAAACTATGATTTAGAAAATATTCAAAATGCAATAATGGTTTGTTATTAGATGCCGTCTATATAGTTTTTAGCTCAGGATAAGGCCAGTCGCATATTTTGAGGATGTTGGTGTATAAATGTCCTCACTCCAAAAGTGAAGATCTTTTTTTTTTCCCCCTTGTCACTGCATGCCACGTGTGTGAAATTTCTGTTATGTATCTTTTAAAGGTGGACGAGGGGATGACCGCCAACATAGCTTAGTAGTAGAGCATTGGACGTGTTTTTCGAAGGTCGCAGGTTCAGATCCTTCCGGTAGCAGGTTATCCTTTTGTCCAGTTCACTTCACATGTTTTCTCATTAACATTGTGTCTAATAAAAAAAACTAGCCTTTAAATTTCCACTGTTCTGTTAGAAAATACATAGGGATCTGAGAAGCACCTTATCATGTTGCTGACAAAATTCCAGTCTAAAAACAACCTTGTAAGCAGCTATTGGTGAAGCGATTTAGCAGTGATAGTTTTCCTAACTGGCTCATTTTCTCTAAGTGTGCAAACAGGAAACAAAAAACGAGTTAGAAGGTTTTACAGCATGCTATTTATTTGGATGGTCATAAAAAGTAATCAAACTGACCTGCTGTATAAGAAGGACCTTCCTCTTCAACACAACACTGTTTTTTGATAGTTGCATCCAATCATCTTCAACTTTTTGCTGCCTTCAAGCTGGGAATGTTGCTAACAACACGTGTTGACCACAAAGTATGCCACACATAGATCACAATGAACTCGCTGGAAAAATAGCAGATAAGCCGAGCAGCACAGAAACAGCAGGTGCAAAATCAGCAGTGGATGGTCACATGATATGTTTTCACCAATTTGAGCTTCGAATCCAGTTTGCCAGCAGCTGTACCTTCTTTATTTATTTTCCGTCTGACGTACTCTCTAGAGAAGGTCTTCTATTATTAAAAGGCATGAAAACTGAATGTTATAATGCGGGCATTCACTTTACTTCTGGCTTCTTGCCCACTTTTTGGCCGCGTCTTGAAAAGAACATTTCATACATGCTTCAGACAGCAAATGCACGCCACTTCCTTGTAAAAAGAATTCGATTTATTCTTTTTTGTTGTATAGTCAACAATCAAACTTGGTGAGTATGTTCTTTGGTGAACCAGCAATCCAGAACAAGTCAAATTTGAAAATGCATATATTATTTTCATTTTTTCAAAAATAATTTTTAGCCCTGCATCCCCCCTTAAAGGAACTCTCTGCCATGCTTCATTGTTTTTCTGTTATGTGTTGAAAGAAAAAGTATACTTCTGAAGTTTTCAACCTTGCAGCGGTTTCTCTAGAAGGCAAGTAGAAAGTTCTGAAACGAGAATTTTCTATCTACGTTTTGTCATGTTCTATTGGTAAGAAGAAACCCGCAACACTGGTTACTGTATGCAATAACAATGGTTGTGCTGATTAGAGTAGAAAACTAGAACCACATGCAGATTTTGTAGGCTGAATTAGGCTTAGTTTAAAAATAAAACAATTACCGCTTAGAGCTTGTAAACTTCCAAATAAATTATTATTACTGTGTTCTTTCAAGCTTCATTTAGTTAGCCTGAAAAAAATACTGCAGTGGAGTGGAAAACTTTGTGCTCCATCAACACTAGCACGCCACTGTTGATGTGAAACATTGTGCAGTTGGTCCACCCACGTCAGTCCTGCAACTGAAACGAACATGAGAGATGCGCTTCACAGAAGAGGAGGTCCTTGCTTTTTCTCAGTTTTGTTTAGATGTTTGACATCTTTTTTTTTTTCTGAGCGGTGCCAGTCTCGATGCTCACATTTCATCGTGGTAGGCAAACACAGTGCCACCAGCGTTACTGGGTGCCTCTTTCAATGCGCAAGAAAAATAATAAACGCTAAAATTACTCTTTGACATCAGAGAAAGCTATCAAAAGTGCATATAATGTAATTTTAAAGGGCCAGTAAACAGTCCTGATGTCTAAAATTTTTTTAAAAGAGATATATGTGCAGTTTTTTTTTGCGAACATGCTGCCGCAAGACTTTTCCGAATACGTGCTATATTAAGGAAGTTACAGGAGTTAGAACATCGGTCTAAGCTGGTTTCAAATTTTCGCGTGGCCTCGCCCTCCTTCTCTTTTCTATGAAGGGGAAGGCGTAGCCCATCCTCGTGACACCATCCACTTCGGCAACGTGACACCACGTCAGCAATTGACATCCTCGGCGAACTTGATCAGTCGCAACGCACTTCCGCTTGCTGCGAAGGGTGGTTGTTTGTTTACCGTTTGCCGCACCAGCCGGGAGTCAACCGTGTAAGCATCAGGTGTGAAGTGTCAACCACAAACGAGCAGGTCCCCGACGTACGTCGCTGGATGGCCAATTCGCTTCAGCCATGCAGTGCGCAGGGCCCCATCGTGAGGCACCCGGTGCCGATGCTTCTACGCTGCCCAGTCACTCAATTTGCAGCCGACGACAGAGCAACGCTTTTTACCTGTGTTGCTTATGTCAAGGGCGAAGTACGTTCGTGCGTGCGCACAGGTGCTGTAGTTGAGCGAGGAGTGTACACGTGCATGCGACAACTGCGAGGCTGGTTCTTTCACCGCAGTGCCAAGAAACAAGCGGCAGTTTCGTAGCTGTGGGTGGGAACAGGAACTGACGTTGACTTCCCTACTGTTTTTTCACATCTGATTTAGACCAATCGGTGAGCTGCTTCGGCGAGCTGCGTGCTACGTCATGTCGCCGATCGCCGAGTTGACGTCGCTGTGCGTGCAAGGGCGTCGGTCAGGCATAGGAAAGATGCGCGGGAATTGTTTTTCGAAATAGAGGCACTTCACGGCGCGCAGCGCTGTAATATAAAAAAACGTGATCGCTGTGGTCTAATCTACGAATTTCCGAGCTTGCATGGGTCGTGTAAAAAAAAGTCCGTGCCTGTTTACTGGCCCTTTAAGTGATGCATATTTGTTTTCAAGCAAAATAAGCCTACATTCGAGGTTTTTCAGTCCTACCAGTAGCTTGAACCACATTGCCATTAGATGACGCTAGTGGTCGTACTTTCACAACTTTCAAAGCCAAATTAATAAATTGGGGACTGTTGAGCTTCGTCTTTAAAAGTTGAACGCAATGGCTATATCCAGTCCTTAGTGTGTACTTCAACTTTATATTGCATGATGTTACTCGAGAAGTTTAGAAATTAGATTACTTCAATGTAATCGATAAAGTTGAAAGTGGCTTGCATCAGTCAAGCTTTCGCATGTAGCTGCATTCTGTGTAATGGGTAGCATGCATTAAACCACAAAAAATTGTGTGCATGAAGTGTTTCTGAAGTTGCTATTCACCCACTACGTGGAATACATGTGGGCCTTTTATATTGGGTTGATGGCTTTAAACCATGAAGTCGTTATGATAATCGTATGTTCTGTTGCACCTTGGCAATGTGCACTTGTACGACGCCCTATTACTGCGATATTACTTGTTGTATTGTGAAATCTATACAAGATGTGAGTGTTTATAAAGCATGAAAGTTAATTTCACTGCATTTTGAAGTGCAGCAAGTTATTATTTTTTTTTTTCTAAGCATATATGTGGCTGTGAGGTAGTACACCTGCTCACCACTAAAAAACAACCTGGGTTCGATCTTCACTAGGACCCGGAAATATTTATTATTTTGTTTGCATCTTTCTCGATTTTTCGGCCACGGATGAGATGATTGTTTTTCGCTCGCAACCAATGACGCCCACACTAGCGTCGTAATTTCTGTGAAACGAGCTTCTTAACATTGTTGCATTAAAATACTATTTTTTATTGGACAGAAGCTGCTGATAGAACTAAAAACCGTCTCATTTCCACCAAAATCAAGATAAGTTTTTCTGAGTGGTAGACACTCCCTTTCAACACAAAAACAGGGGGCTGCTATACAATCGTTTGAGCTTCTGCATTTTCAATGTAGGAAGGTTAGCAGTGGCAACTTGTGCAGTTCCACTTCTTCATTTGAGGTACCAAAAAATATGAATGTTACCAGCATAACAAAAAACTTTGTGGTGATTTAACTAATTAAGCTAGAATAGCTTTTTTTCTTAATTAAATGCTGGCGGATGTGCGGGAATGTCGAAATTGTTGTCAGGCTGTGCTCAGGATTGTTCATTTAGGGGTTACCTTCTAACCTCACTGCGCTCAAATTAATTAGGCCATAATCTCATGTCAATAGCACTTCTGAGCATACGTGATAGCCTACCATCTATGCTTGTCTGGCACTGCGTGAGTAAATGTTGGAATTTCTTTACTTGATTAAACACTTTATCAGTGTCTGTTTAATGAAAGAGCTAGGGCAAAGACCGCATGGCCATTATTTGTGTCTAGGTTTAGCTCAAGGAGAGAAGCTCGTAGTGACACTCCCCCGTTGTACTTTTTTTTGCAGGAGCAAATGGTACTCTGATCCTTATTCAAGGGGTTCCTACACGTACATCTCAGTGGCCTGTGATTCAACCGGTGCTTTGCCTCGAGACTTGGCTGAACCGATATATGAGCCTGTGGTGCACTGCGGAACAGAAGTCACGGTATGTACGGTAGTTTTGAAAGCTTGTTTCAAGTGCCAGGCTGATATTTGCATTCAATTGGGAGCATAAAAGAATTTTTATACAGAAAATTTTACTAATTTAGCCAAATGAAGGGTTGTCTTTCAGGTCCAATATACACGTCAAGCCTTGTTGCTTTCAGTATCATTCTTTGCTCACTTGGCCTGATTCTGGTGAAAAATTGCCAAGCAGCATTGTAGCTGCTTATTTTCTCAACACATAGCTTGTTTGTAGACTTCGTGCACATGAAAAAGTGTATTCTACTCTTTGTCCTCATCGTTCGTCCATTATTCTTTCTCCTACTGCTGCTGAATATTAGGCCATTGGCCTGATTCTGCACCACCCTCTTATCCCTCAATTATACTGCAATATAACTTGATATAGGGATATGGCTCATACTGCTTGCAGTGCAGATTCCCTACGCCTATAAAAATTATTCATATACTATCCTGGTAGAATTAGTTCAAAACAAAATAATGAAGAACAAAAACGGAACCTCACAGTTTGGGCACTTAGTTCCTTGAACTTGCATGACCAGGGTTTAAACGTGTTCCGACAGCATTCTATCCTCATAATCAACTGTATGTTGATGACTTGCATGATGTTGGGTACAGTCTGTTTCACACTTAGGGGAAATCTCGGATTGCATAACACGTGGTGCGGCCAACGCTGTACTCGCGTGCCGCCATAGCAGACGACATGGCTCAACACTACAGTCCTTCAAGTGTCTGCGCATGCGCGAGCTGTAGCTGGCACTTGACTGCAGCGCTGGCTGCACTGTGATTCATGCGTTCCAAGACTTCCCCTAAGTGTGAAACAGACTGTACACTGGCTACAGTGGAAAGAAAAATGTGCCTGTTTGTATCATATGTATAAGCCACGGGTCTTTGCATCCGTCTTGCGGGTGCTACGCTAGTGGCCCACAGCTTCACCAGGAATAGCATGTTTCTGGCATTGCTAAATGGTACTCACATTATTTGCTCTCCTATTGCAATTAATGACCTCATGGGTTCACTGTGAGTTGAAACTAAAACTGGGCTAATATTCGAGCGCTTCAAGTATTGGAATGAATATTTCATTATGTGAATGGGCTTTGACACGAAATCAGACTATTCAAAATTTTGAACTGTTTAAAATGAACATGTACTCGGCTGCTGACCCGCAGGTCGCGAGATCAAATCCCAGCTGCGGGGGCTGCATTTCCGATGAAGGCGGAAATGTTGTAGTCCCGTGTGCTCAGATTTGGGTGCACGGTAAAGAACCCCAGGTGGTCGAAATTTCCGGTGCCCTGCACTACAGCGTCTCTTATAATCATATGGGGGTTTTGGGACGTTAAACCCCACATATCAATCAATCATTAAAATGAACAAATATTTGTATGCCATTTGAGCGCCTATAACTTCACTGTAAATGGTGTTTTACTGCAGCATAGGGTTTATGCCGTGAAGCCACCCGTCGGGGAAAAATCCACTTTGCTTCGAAGGCACAATTTTGAAGGTTCAATGTACATAATAATTTCAACTCAATTAATGATTTTTAAAGTTTAAAGTGGGCATATTGGTGCTAAGGATAGTAATTTTTGAAACAAAAGGTAGGACCAGGTATAACTTGCACTTTACTGTTATACAAATCTTACTACTATTCAAAGTTGCTTCCACTTCACTTCGAACTGAAATAGTGACATTCATCATCATCAGCCTGACTACGTTCACTGCAGGACAAAAGCCTCTCCCATGTTCCGCCAGTTAACCCGGTCCTGTGCTTGCTGCTGCCAATTTATACCCGCAAACTTCTTAATCTCATCTGCCCACCTAATCTTCTGTCTCCCCCTAACCCACTTCCCTTCTCTGGGAATCCAGTCAGTTACCCTTAATGACTAGCGGTTATCCTGTCTATGCGCTACATGCCCTGCCCATGTCCATTTCTTCTTCTTGATTTCAGCTGTGATATCCTTAACCCCCGTTTGTTCCCTAATCCATTCTGCTCTCTTCTTGTCTCTTAAGGTTACACCTACCATTTTTCTTTCCATTGCTCGCTGCGTCGTCCTCAATTTAAGCTGAACCCTCTTTGTAAGTCTCCAGGTTTCTGCTCCGTAGCTAAGTACCGGCAAGATACAGCTGTTATATACCTTCCTCTTGAGGGATAGTGGCAATCTACCTGTCATAATTTGAGAGTGCTTGCCGAATGTGCTCCACCCCATTCTTATTCTTCTAGTTACTTCAATCTCGTGGTTCGGCTCTGCGGTTATTACCTGCCCTAAGTAGACATAGTCTTTTACAACTTCAAGTGCACTATTACCTATCTCGAAGTGAGATTCACAAATGCCTAATTTCAATTTTGAACTGTTGTGCAAGGTAGTAGGGTCATGACAAATATGCAAATTTTTCTTACTAATATGTGATGGCTGCTATTTTAACTATTCGATTTGAAATTATTCGATCAGATCATGATTCGCTTCAAACCTTAAACGTACTGTTTGCCCAATTCCAGTTGAAACATAGCCGTAGAACAATATCTCTATATTTCACATTCGGCACCCAGGTTTGCTGCAGACGTCACAAGCTTGGTAGTGCATTTTTGGGGGTCACGTATCTGAAGAACAGCCAAGAGATGACTATGGGGTGGCACCTAAAGAGCCTTCGTTGACAAGGTGCACAGAAGGGGTTGGCTCGGTTGGATTGATCGGCAGATATGGAAAGTGAGTCGGATAGGCTGAAAGAAGCCAAGCTACATCGTTGGAACGAAGCCAAGAGGAGGCAGCGAGCTGAGGAGATGGAGGAAGAATGAGCTGCACACCTCGACAAGCATCTTAAGTGCGAATTTGCCAGGCCAGTGCATTCAGATGAGGATAATTCGTTGTCTAATTCAGTATCTCGTGCCAGGGATCAATGAAGGAATAAATCCAGGAAGAGGCAACAGCTATGGGGGACAGAAAAAGAATGTGCTCATCATTCAAACAGAGACTGCAGAGTGAAACAGCTATAAGAGCGGCGCACCTAGCCACCGATACGATGCAGTTAGGCCATGTAATTGGCCTGGCTGAAAGTTCAAGTGTGACACACTTCTAAATGAACTTTAGAGACAATCCGTTTGGATTTGCATATGACATTTGCAAAAGACTTTAGACTTCCAAATAGATGCGTTTTACTTAAATTAAAATTATCTAGTCTATAATGTAACCGTAATTTACGACAGGTAACAACCATACCTGAACACTCAGAAGTAAGAAGCTAAACGATAAACATTTAACCGTGCAGAGAAGCAAGCTAAACAATAAGATTAATCGTACCTCTCGCTTCGCACACCTAAGCCTAGGCCAATTTTTCCAAAACCAAGTCAGTATTTTATGAGTACTGACATATGGTGCAGAAACTTAGAAGCCAGCAACGAAACTTGAGATAAAGTTAAGAAGCATGTAGTATGTGATGGAACTGTAATTTATTAGGGTAACAGGAGGACAGCAGGCTCTGAGAACAACTGGAGTTGCGGACATCCTAGTTTGCATGAAGAGAAGAAAATGAACCTGGGTAGGCCACAGAATGCACTGGACAGGTAACTGTTGATCTTTCAGAGCAATAGTATGGGTAGCAAGGGATGGGAAATGCAGTAAGGGCAGCACAGAGTTTGGTTAGGTGATGAAATTAAGAAATTCACGTGCATAAAATGCAATTGGCTTGCTTAGGACTGTGTCAGTTGGAGATATCGGGAGATACTTTTGTCCTACAGCACGACTTAGAGGACCCCTAAACCACTCAGAGTTGAAATTCAGTTGTGGTGGGGGAAGTTGTGCACGAGTGTACCACGATCACGAAGCCATGAGAATTTTTCGAAACTGTGACGTTTAATTATTGAAACGCGCCAATCACTCTTTGCGCTCTTTTCTTAGCTACTCTCCATTGGTATCTTCTCCCAAAGCCGCTTTGCCCCCTTGCTGAGCGCCCCTCCCAATCTCGTGGCGCATGCGTCATCTTCGATGCATTGCTCAAAACACCATCTACTTCCTGTTGCTGTGACTCCGTAACTCCATCGACTCCATCAACTGCGTGCTTATTGGTGAACCGCTGCTGTGCCAGCCCATGCTTATACGAGTCATGCCGGTATCGACCCAGTGTTACGGGTAGCAGTAGCTAATTCGTAAGTGCACACGTGTGCAGGTAACAAGACGAACAAGCAGTGCAAACAACTGCTTGCAGACTAACTGGAAGTCATAGACCCTTGCTCGACCTATCACAGCATCAATGTGCTGCGCATCAGAGATTCAAGTTTTTGACGTCACGCAGGGGCTCAAAAGGCCAGGAGAAGAGGAAGGATAGTTTCTTCGAATTTGTGGCATACCAGCGGCTCATAGCGCTGCCACGTGTAGAATCGTTGATCGCAGACATTCTGCACACGATGCGCTTCTTTATTTGAAATGTTTAAAAAATATTGGAGGTGGTTTAAAAACAGGCCCTCTAAGAGTCTGATGATGTAATAAATCTTACACTATACATTTGTAAAATCTACACTATACACTTGTAAACAATGCTGTACTTAAAAATGTGCCTTATATCCAGTTTCCAACTGTAATTGGTCCACAGCATATACCGTATAAACGCGTGTAAGGGCCGCACTTTTTTTTTCAGGAAGTGAGGGCTAATTTTCAGGTTGCGGCCCATACACGGAAACTTTTTTGTGGTGAACTAAAAACAACGTACCAGTTAGTGAACGAAGAGCGTTTATTGCAGTATGCCGCGTGTGCGCTTAATCGTCGTCACTCGACGAGTCCTCTAACTCGGAGTCGGAGATAGTGTGTTGCGGAGCACCATCATTCTACAAACAGTCATCTTCGGTGCCATCCAGGCTGTTGGATATCCCAGTGACCTTAAAACTTCGGGACACAATGTCCGTCGACACCGAGTTCCACGCAGACAATATCCAACCGAGAACAGTAGCAAGCGGTGCCCTCTTCAGCCGTCCGGTCGGGGTGTGCTCATGGTTGCCGGTTGCCATCCATTCCGTGTAGAGTCTTCGGAATTCAACTTTGAATGGTCGATTCACGCTCACATCCAAAGGTTGCAACATTCCTGTGAGGCCGCCTGGAATCACGGCCATGTCTGTGCCGACACGGCGCAGCTGCTCCTTCACCTTATCGGTAAGGTGGCCGCGGAAACTATCCAATACTAAAAGTGAATGTTTGGCCAACAAAGCTCCCGGTCTGTTCTGCCAAACACTTTTCACCCAGTCTAGCACCAAATCATCGTTCATCCATTCCTTCTCTTGGGCTCTAACTATGATGCCCTTGGGGAAAACTTCGTTGGGAATTCTTTTCCTTTTCAAAACAACGTACGGGGGTAGCTTCCGCCCGTCCGCGGTCACACAAAGCATCACGGTGCAGCATTGGTGCTCAGCGCCGGTGGTCCGCACGGCGACACTCTTCTTGCCTTTTACTTCGACTGTGTAGTTCTCGGGAGAGTCAAACCACACAGGAGTTTGATCAGCGTTCGCTATTTGCGACAACAAATAACTGTGCTGATGGCGCAGGCCGATGACATGCTTGTAAAAACTAAGCACCTTGTCGGTATAGTCTTCTGGCAGCCGCTGGCACAGCGTGGTCCTTCGCCGAAAAGAGAGTCCCTTTCTTTTCATAAACCTTCGCACCCAGCCAGCACTAGCCTTGAAATCCCCGGCCGGTATATTTTTCGCACGTGCCAAGGCTAGTGCCTTCATGCGCAGCATGTCTATAGTGAGCGCAAAACCATCGTTCCGCACCTCAGTCACATAGCGGAGCAACTCCTCTTCCAAATCGGGATACTTGCACTGTTTTCCTCGGAAAGCGCGCTTTTTGATATTGGTGTTCTGCAAGGCTTTCTTCTGGGCGCACCAACGTCGAACACACTTCTCGTCAACGTCGAATTTTCTGCCGGCGGCCCGTTTCCCGTGCTCGAGGGCAAACTCGATCACCTTCAACTTATAGCCAGCTGTATAGCTATTCAGCTGCTTGCCCATCGTGTGAAAACGTAAACGTCCCGCAGAAAACTAGCTGGAGTACCAGAGTCATTCAACGGTGCGCAAAACTCGAGCACATGGCAGGCTGAACAGCACAATGACCAAACAACGCTCAAATACCAAAGTTGGTGATGCTAATGCCGATATGGATAGCGCGTTTGTATAGAAGTGTCAGAAGTTAAATATAAAATCCTGCTTTAACCTTTAGTTGGCGGGTGTATGAACACTACTGAAAAAATTAAAAATTTTTAGCCAACTTCATGAACATATTAGCATGAAGAAAACCAACAAATTATTCTAATGATGTACTATATGGTGATGATGAGAATTGCATTTCCTAACGCCATCTACTGACAATGCCTAGTAGCTCACACACACGCGCGCGCATTTTGAATACGTATGGGTCAAGGAAAGTGCGGATGCAGCCCTTACACACAACTTTTTTTTTTTTTTTTGAATATGTGCTTCTTAAAAACGGGATGCGGCCCTTACACGGGTGCGGCCCTTACACGCGTGTATACGGTAGTACTTTCAAGCAAAGCAGTGTTTGAACTGTGCTTATGTAAAATGTATCCATATTAGGGATGTGTGAATATTCGAAATTTCGAATATTTTTCTAATATTGTTTGCTATTCAATTCAGTTTGCACCAGAATTTCTCTATAAACTTTCCAAAGACAAATTCACTCATCATCTGATTGGTAGTGGCCCCTTGAGATTTTCAATATTCTTACCCCATCACATTCTCATATTGCGGCAAAGCGGCTGTTGGGTTCGAACTTGGTGCGTTTGCCGAATACCTTCATATTGTTACCCGCCCCGCTAATGGTGAGCTCACGCCATGACAGAAGCGGTGTCGCTGAATTGGTGGAATGGCGGCTGTCTGTCGGTCATAAAGGATGCGAAAACCCACGTCTCCAAGGAGCTTAGTGGTGGCACCTTTCTGAAAACAAGAGCAGAGTCCGGCTGCAAGGGTGAAAGGTGCACTTGCGCTCCGCTGTAGGCAACCGAAACCAGGGCGAGCGGTGGCATTGATACACGGGCCAAGTATACTGATGGTCTGTCAGCCCAGCGTTGCAGGCATGTACCCGAAAGGTGCGTTCCCACAGCTCGTCGATGCCAGACCTCGAACGTTCTGGGAACCGTAGTGAAGGAAGCTGAGCGGTGGCGGGAGGCGGTGGTTCTTCGAGAAAGATCTGAGGAAAAAAATACTTTGTGTCTGGCACTTTCAACGGCAGCCAACTAGGACTTGAGGAGAGAGATATTTCTGTGTTCCGATTGGATTGTAAGAGTGTTCGAATGGAAAGTTAGGGGATAAATTCAGGGGAGCAGGTAGAGAAGAAAAAAGAGAGACGAATAAACGTCTCTATCGAAATGATGTCCGAGCAGTCCTTTCCTCAAGGTGCCAGCAGATGAAAAATCTCGTCTTTAGCTTCCTTGGCGGCAGCAGGAAATGTTGGCAACCAGCAAGGCGACTAGAAGACCAAAAACGAAACTTAACTGCGACCTTTCAGGCTCTTTTATGGTCACAATTACTCAAGTAAATGCTGGTCACAACATGGGGATGATAAATGTGGAAGAGGTGAGGGCTCAATTAATGCTTTTTTTTATCTGAAATTTGGGCAGAAATCTAAAGATATTTAGCATCCAGAATTTTAGATGTTTGTATACTGGGTGTTTCAAGAAATGTCCAATATTCTTTAAAAAACAGAAAAAAGCGTTATTTGCTTGCAGTCTTCACAGTTCCTTTTTTTGTAGTGGCAGGCATATTAAAGCGGTGGCAGACATCAATTGTAATTGTAAATTGGAAAGTTAAATTAATTAAACTATTATTAGTGGAGTTACGCAGTCAAGTCAAATGGGAGAATTAAAGTCCTTCGTGTGAAGAACCCATTGCTGCTTTGAGATTTCAGAAAAGTGGCTTCTAGTAATATTAAAAAATAATGAAATTCCCCAGAATTCTGCAGCCAAACCGAAATCAAAGGAACGATGAGCGTAACAAGCAGACGACTACAATGACGTCACTATTGAAAACAGCAGTTACACGGGTGCAGTTTTTTCCCGTTCGATAATGTATGTGCGTCATGCATGCTGTGATTGCGAACGCAGCCCACACACCCACACAACGCAGTCGGTTGATGGTTGATATAACAACGCTCTTTCATTTCGGACATCTCAGACGAATATGGCAGTTGCGCTCTTTTGCGTTTTGGTTTCGCCCCAGAATTTGGGAGAAATTCATTAGTTCGCAGTTATTGCTGGAGGGCACTTTTCTGAAATTTCAAAGCGGGAATGGATTTTCCGCATGAAGCACTTCAATTCTTCCATATGACTTAACTGCCTAACCCCACTAATTAAAAAGTTAATTGATACAACTGTCAGAATTACCGTTAAAAAATGATGCCTTCAACCCTTTCAAGATATCTGCCGCTACAGAATAAGCAACTGTGAAGACTGCGAGCAAATAATGCCTTTTCGTGATTTTTTAACAATATTGAACACGTTTCTTGAAACGCCCTGTATATTGAGGTCTACGAGGCACATTCGAAACTGTGGACTCAAAGGGAGCAAACCCTTGTCCACAACGTCAGATGAAAGAGGAGGAGAGGCTGAGGAAATTGCATCTTTGCCTTTCACGTGTAAAGTGTTTTTCGCAATGCTTTGGTTGCACCAAGTCAGGTAGATAAATACAGTTTGGCCTCTGCATTGCCTCATTCTTAATAAGACAGCTATGAAACACCACCTTGCCAGTGCTTCATCAACCTAGCCAAAAAAACACTCTCATGACACTAAAGGGACACTAAAAACAAACAATTTATGTCAGAATAAAAGCTTAATGTATGACAGCATCTAAAACGACAATATCACCAACAGCAGTGCCCTACTTACCGAGAAATTAAGATAAATGCATGAGAACATATGTGCTACAAGTAGGACATTCGCAAAATCATTTTGATGTCAGAGTTACTCCCTACAATTGATCACTAGTAATCGAACTAGCTGCACTTAATAAAGAACCTTTCATGCATCAAGAGACAAAATAAAATGCTGCTTTTTCGTTTCTGTTTGATTTATGGAAAAAAGAACCACCGACATTACTGTGGGGATTGACGCGAGTGGTTCAAAAGTTCAATTTTTGCCTGGTAATCTGGACAGGTCGGGCCATCTAGTGGCGCCCAGTTGAACCAAGCATGTCTGTCATCTCGGGGGCCATGGTAGGAAATTGTTCAATGGCCATTGTTGCTGCTGTGGCTCCCACTATTTTCGCACTGGTGGTGCTAGTATTGGCGGCTGCGCAGTAAAGCCGGGCAACGGTGTGCACCGCAACAGTGATGTGAAAGTTTCCACTTTGAGGCAGGTAATTTCAAGTGTGCTAACATGATTCGGACCACTAAAACATAATTTTATTTCAAAGTAAGCACTTCCTTGGTACAAAATTAGCACTACAAGGTTTCTGGGCCGCTATTTCAGCAACTGACATTGACTTGGTATTTCCCTTTAGTGTCCCTTTAACTGCTGTAGACAAGACGACACAGGTTAATTCAGTGAGATGATTTGGCCAATAATGTGCTGATAGCTGAGATGATTGCATAGACGAGATGTACAATGTAAGACAGTGAGCCGCAGGGTTTATGGGTGCATGCTGGCGGTTAAGACACTGAAGGTGTCCATATCTTTCAATCCAAAGCCCTTGATTATGTTATCCTTCAGAACTCTTTGTATTGTTTCAAAGTTTTAGAGAAGTCATTCATTCAGGTTTGTACATGAAACCTTGTTGTTTTCAGTATCCAGTGTTATTCTTTGCGGGTGAGGCAACACATCCCCACTTCTACTCAACTGTGCATGGTGCCTATGAGTCTGGCATCAGAGAAGCAGATCGTCTTGCGGACTTCTACTTGTGAGTATATTAGCTTTTGTATCTGCATACATAGCATTTTCACTAAGATGGGCATGCCTGCTACAAACATATTGCATGGTGTACGACCCTGTACATAGTTGCCCCGCTGCGGTGGTCTCTAGGCTAAGGTACTCGGCTGCTGACCCGCAGGTCACGGGTTGGAATCCCGGCTGCGGCGGCTAAATTTCTGATGGAGGGGGAAATGTTGTAGGCTTGTGTGCTCGGATTTGGGTGCATGTTAAAGAACCCCAGGTGGTCAAAATTTCTGGAGCCCTCCACTACGGCGTCTCTCATAATCATATGGTGGTTTTGGGATGTTAAACCCCACATATGAATCGATCCTGTACATAGTAGTCACTAAAGTTTGTAGACCACCATAGTACTGCAGAGCATGTTACTATGGCTGGTTTGTAGGAAAAACTAAATATGACATGTTACCTCCTTTACTTAAAATGTCTGAATGGTTTGCAATGTTTTTTTTGTGTGTGTGTGTGTGTGTGTGCGTATGGGAAAATGTACTCCTGACTAAGAGAGACTGTACAGTTTGCCTTAGGAACTTGTGATGATATAATATCTGGGATTTCGTCCGAAACTTTGATATGATTATGAGAGACGCCACAATGGAGGGCTCCAGAAATCTCGACCATCTGTTTTTTTTTTTTTTTTTTTTTTTTTTTTTTTTTTTTTTTTTTTAAGTGCACTGACATCGCACAGTACATGGGCCTCAGCATTTCACCTCCATCGAAATGTGACCATCGCAGTCAGGATCGAAGCTGCGACCTTCAGTTCAGCAGCCGAGCACCATATCCACTGCTACACCACTGCAAACCATGATATAATTATGAAGGACGCTTAGTAGAGGGCTTTGAAATTTTCGATTAGCTGGGGTTCTTAAACGTGCACCTAAATCTAAGTAAATGGGCCTCAAGCATTCTCGTCTTCATCATAAATGCGACCGTAGCGGCTGAGGTTCGATCTCATGATTTTCAGGTCAGGAGTCGAGCACCATAACCACTAGACATTCGTGGTAGGCTGCCTTAAAAACTACTCGTGCCACAGATGCAAGGCGCCCCTCCCCCTTTTTTGTGAAAAGCCTGTTATTATCCTCACTCATGAATAAGAGCAGTCTCTGTTGACCTTGTGTAATTTCCAGGTTATTAGCTTATTCCAAAATATTGATACTTTTATATTTCAAAAAGAAATACACTAAAACCTCATAACAAAGTCACATCTAGTATGAATATACTACTTTGTTATATACAAAAGTTGGTTATAAATGATTACTTATTACACTGTGTCTATGATAAAGCTATTGGTCACTTACTTCATTATAGCGGATAATTCATCACGTCCCAATTTGTTATATCGAGGTTTGAGTGTAGAGGGTGAACATGCTTCTTTTTTTTTTTTTGTGGGAGGAGAAGGGGAGGGGGGCTGCAAAGCAGTAAGCAGCTTCAAGAAAGCACATTGTGAAAATCTTTGTGGGACATTGCGAAAAAAAAAGGCAATTGTGCTAAGTCCAAATAATTTTTCACAAAATGAAAAAACACGGCTACCGACATATGATTTAATGATTCGATCTTCAAAAGTTCCTCACCAGGTCTGGCCATTTCAAGCTGACAAGTGTAATGCTTACACTCCTCACTCACAATCGTGCCAAGAGTTACATTGCTAGTATGCACCAAGAAATGGCAGGAAGTGAAAGGGAAGATGGAAGCTGGTGATGAAAAAAATCCGTAAACAAGGGTTAGGTGCTAGACCCGACATTTGGACAAGTGGACTTGCCTTCTTCTAGGCTAGAAGCCTTAGCGTGAGCGTGTATATGCTTCATACCCTCTTTTAAGAGCATTGGCAATGCTTGAAAGTTGAAACTTGGGGTTCTTCACAATTGTAACTTGAAGCGGTCTGCGATAAGCACACAAAAGAGAATGAAGTGGAATAAGGGTAGAAGTGAAGAGAGGAGAAGTTAGAATAAAATGGCAGATGACTCCCGTTGAATATTATGTCTGTTTAATGCATTAGTTCCTAGTAGGAACGCTACATAACCGTTTTTTTTTTCTTTTTGTTAATTTTTTTCTGTTGCAGTAAAGCTGGATCAGGACAAGAATCGTGCTGCGTACCAGACGAGGAAGACAGTCATCTGGTCAAAGCGGATCCCTTAAGTTCTGCAGGGTTGAGTGCATCATTGGCTGGCTCAAATCCCCGCATTATAATTGTGGGAGCTGGTGCTGCTGGTCTTTCTGCTGCATACAAGCTGACCCAGAAGGGCTACACTAATTTTGTTGTTTTGGAGGCTCAGAGGATGGCTGGAGGGAGGATACAATCTTACTACTATGGTGGTAAGTATTGCTGACTCTTTGTGGGCTCTTAAATTTTTTTTACGAACCAAAGTACGAGATTAGAGAAAAACGCCAGGCCTGCATGGAAGGCGCAGCACAGTCACAGGGAAAGCTAGAAAAGTGGACTTTCGGAGCTTTTTCAAAACACTCATTGAGTAACTACTGCAAGTACACTTGCTTGATACTCACTAGGGCAGTGGTTCTCAAATGGGGGTCGTTGGACTCTAGGGGGTCCACGAAGCCATTTCTATGATCCAGAGAGCCCTCACCCATATTTTTCTTTAAGCATGACTGTGCCACGTATGATGAACTGTCCAAAATGAAGTGATATGGCATGTTTGTTTGATGTTTTTGGTAGCAATGAAAGGCACCTGTTTTACACTTCATTTGTGTTAATTTATCTACGTACCCCCTCTCCCTCCCCTCCTCTGCAAGGCGTCCCCCATCATTTCTACCAGTCCACAAACGGTCCCCGGCACATCCATGGCTGAGAACCACTGTACTAGGGCATTAATAATAAACTTTTGGGTAGTAGGCCGGCACTTGTTATGCTATTTTTCATCATTATTTTGAGAAGCGTGGTATCTGCTAAACACCCGCAAGGAATTTTGTGGCAATTGTTCATGCAGTGGCTGACGATGAGGAATTATGGCTGAAGTGGGTGGGCACCACCGTTAATAGGGGAACAAGAAAAATCTTTTGTAATGGGTTGGAGCACTTGACAGCCCACTCGTTATGCTATTCGCATTGTGCGACGACTTGTTGATCTTTTGCTGCTTTGAAATGCTTTATAAGTTAAAGTCGTATTAATGCGATTGCTTTCTCGACATCAAGCCTGCCTAAGGCAAGTTTGCCAACATGTCACAAGCACCAGCGTAGCTCAGTGGTAGAATACTGGGCTGGCACCTATCGGACCCGGGTTCAAGCACGACTGTATCTTTGGTGCTGGGTTTGCCAACAAGTCACAAGCACCGGCGTAGCTCAGTGGTAGAATTCTGGGATGGCACCCAGCAGACCCAGGTTTTGAGTCCCACTGTGTCTCTGGTGCTAGGTTGTTTTGTTTTGTTTTTTCTAATTTCGCGCGATGTGGTTACGGACACCGGCGGCGGTGGACAACTGTGCGTGAGCCAAGTTGTGATCTCATAACAGCTTTCGCTGTAAAAGAGGTCGCCCATCCATGAGATAGATGAGTGGTATTCTTCAAGTGGGCTTAAAGAACTTCTATTAAATAAATATCTCATATTACTCGTGTTCATACAGTCATGCTGCCACCAGAAGCCATCAGTGACACAGCAATACCTAACAGCTACAATCCTTCTTGGCCACAAATCTGAAAGACTGTTTTTTTTTTTCTGAGTGAAGTTATGACTCTAACTTGTTGTATTCATTGCTGAATAGAAAATAGTCCTTGAATCGTATATGGTTAGTTCATCTTCTAACCCAAGCACCTTTTTATCAACAGGCAGTTTTAGAATAGTGCATTGCAGCAAATGAAAGAAATCAGCATTACTCTTTTTGGGCCCACACCGCGCGAGCTCATCGCATAAATGATGGTAGAACTTTCACGTACCTATGTTATTTTGGGGATGTAGCATTCATTGCCAATGCACTCATTAAGAGCCTTACGTGAGGCAATTCGGTGGTGCCTCTCAAAGTGACAACTGCCCTCTTCTGATCTGCCGAGCCATTAGTCGGCACTTTTACGCCCATGCATTTCTCACTAATGCTCATATTTGCTTTAAGTTTGTGTAAAGGGGCTTTGGTGGCCACATATTGATGACAAATGTACTCTGCTTCCTAGAAAAGCTTTCACTGAGGGCGTCATCCATTGGCAGATTTGGAGTGACCCACGAACTCTGCACCAGAGCACTCCACTCTGGTGGTGGGCAACAGAAGGGAACCTACCAATGGAACATATGCGCTCCCTTTGGAGAAAATGGCAGGGTGCGAATGGAACGCAATGCGCGCGCTTCTCCTTGCTTGAGTGGGCACGCTGGGCACAGTGACACTATGCTCTGATGCAAAGCGCAACTGACGCGACTGGCATCCGTTGGCTCGCCCAAAGTTGGCACCGTTTCAAGGCACGAGGCACTTGCGATTGCTGGTCGAATCCACTGATTTTCGCGGAGTAGAAAAAGTTGCTCCGTGGAGTGGATCTCGCGACGGAGCTGCTCCAGATCTGCCTATGGAACATACAGGGAGCACTCTCAATCTGCCTATGGAATAGGCTTGCTCCGCATGGAGCAGAATAAAGTATTACCGGAAGTGCCCTGCATCTGCTAATGGATGACACCATAAGCAATACAAAAGGAATACTGAGAGAGTTTGCTCATCTTTGCTATTAACACATCAAAATGGTGCCACTACATGTGTCTAGGTTCTTGTTTGTTTGCCTCTTTAAAAGGGGATGGCCAGAAATTAGTGCGACATGTGTCATGCTTTCCACTGCTAGACAAAGTGATGTGTGGGTGTGTAGATTTGGTTGTCTGTACTTTGCATTTTCGCATTTAGATGGTGCCGTATATGCTTGCATTACCTTTTAAATCCTTTTCCCTATTCTAAAAGATTAGCTTGTGCCACATAGTGTAGCCATCCGTACCATTAGTGCTGAGTTTTCCCTTTGGCTTTCTTGCTCTTACTGAAATAGGGTTATTATGATTGTTGCTGCGCCCCGTCGCGGTGGTCTAGTGGCTAAGGTACTCGGCTGCTGACCCGCAGGTCGCGGGTTCGGATCCCGGCTGCGGCGGCTGCATTTTCGATGGAGGCAGAAATGTTGTAGGCCCGTGTTCTCAGATTTGGGTGCACGTTAAAGAACCCCAGGTGGTCGAAATTTCCGGAGCGCTCCACTACGGCGTCTTTCATAATCATATGGTGGTTTTGGGACGTTAAACCCCACATATCAATCAATTAATATTATTGCCGCTGCTAAACTACACTAGTGTGGGATGCCAAATGTAAAAGGACACAGGTTTGATAGGAAATGGGAGAATGCTGAAAGCACTTTCTTCTGAGCAATCTCGGCTAGAAAGAAACCAGACATATTTTTATTTTATTTACTTTATTTACAAAAATACGCAGGCCGCAGGGTCCAAGCAGGGAGTTGCACAACAAAGGTGGATAGCAAGCATTAAGGAGAGATGCAGGTCGAAAAACGCGAGTTTTCTTTCAAAATTACCGATTTTTAATTCTTGCCTGTTTTGACAAGATTAGTACCTCTACTGTTATGAAAAAAAAAATACAGGTCGAGACTTAACTGGAAATGCTTTAAAATTGCATCTAAAGAGCACAAGGTGCCTGTTAAAAGATCCAAAGTGTGCAGTCTTTGAGCACCTAGCCGCCGATAATGCGCCGCCACTCGCCATTGTTAATAGCATTAGCCCAAGAGTCGAGCCTCACTCTTCAAGCAACAACAGTTTCCCTCGCTGATGCGGCACAAGAAATAATAAAAAGAAGCACTCTTCTGCGGGTTTTTCGAGTGCCGCGACTGGCTTATCACGGGGTACGAATCGGGGACCGCCATTGGTCGCTGCACACCTGTATGTGCTGTGAAGCCTATTTGTGGGGTTCATGTCTTGTCGAGCAGCGCAGCTGAACAATGCTTTTCTTGTGTAATTATCTCTGTTATGAAGAAAAAAAGCATTGCTCACAAGTGAAAGCTATTGTGCGGCTTTCACTTGCGACCAATGCATCAAAATCAAACCACCTTGCGATCAATGCCAAACTTGCCGTTAATGCATCAAAATCAAAACCAATGCATCAATTGTCATTCACACCCGTCAGCCTGAAAGTTCGTGATGCGGCAATGGATGACGTCAGCACCAATCTTGCGAGGTTGAAAAAGCTCGCAGTGATAGAACTTAGCAGGGACGACATTGCCATTATGTACGATGGTATGTGGCACAAACATGGCCGCAAAATGGCATGACACTGGACTTAGTTTGGATTTTGCAGTCCTGTCGAACTTCTTCCTAGCTTGCTGTTGGCACAAGCCTCTGCCAGATGGAGCAGAAGTTTGGCAAGCGTTCCATGGCCCTGTCTGTGAGTGAAATGTCTGTGAGGAGTCGGCTCCAAAAAAGCCGAGAGGGACAAACTCATGGGGCTGGCGTATTTCAGTCGCAGTGGCCACTACAAGAAGCATTGTTTTTTTTCGGCGTGCAAATTTAATCAGATTTAATGATATCTTTCATAAATAAAAACTCAATTTTAACTTAAAAACTCGTTTTTCTCAAAACACAAATTTTGCCATGTTTTTCAATGTGCCGCTCCTTTTTCAGGCACTTCTGGTGCTTGGATCTGCATGAAATTTTCCCCAAATTTTCTCTAAAGTATGGTGAATGCAATTATCCAGTTTAAATATTAATATTTTATTGTGTAATAAAAAAATTTTATGTATAACTTTACTAGGGTAGGTGAAATATGGACTTTTTACGTCTATCATTTTTCACGGCTATTAAATATTTTGTATGTGCTTCCTACTTAGTTATTTGCATTCTACACTTTATTTCAAACATTATAAACTATGAATGGTAAGAAATTACAGAAGTTCAGGGATGAAAAGACGGGGGGGGGGGGGGGCAAAAGCGTTAAGGTTTTCACTTTGTCATTTTGCAGAGCTAAAAGTAAGCAACTTGCAAGAAAACTACCGTAATTACTTGAATTTAACGCGCACCTTTTTTCCGGTTAAGAGAGTTCATAAATCGCATGCGCGTTAGAATCGAGTACGAAAAAAAAATGAATACGGTCATTCTATTGCCATCGGCACTTCCAAAATGGCCGCCCCCAACGTGCGTCGGCATGGCGCGTCGGCCATTTCTGCCTATGTGTTTCCCATGTGCGGCACTTCGTACGTGTGCTGAAGAGTTCGTCATCTTGTAGTACATTAGCATCGACGGCATGGTAGGGCAGACTCCAAAAACTCGACGAGTGTACCACAATGCTGCTTTTAAAAGAAAAGTCATCGCGTGTGCCGAAACGGACAGAAATCGGGCCGCATCGCGGTG